GATCAAATTTGGTAGGTGGGTGTATTTTTATAATGTATTAATCATTTGTCGGAACCGGAAGAATCGGACCACTATAACATATAGCTCCCATACAACTGATTGTTCAGATATGAGATTTTTCGTTATAACTTCTCCATTTATGCAGCTACGAACATGAAATTTTGCAGCACTTGCACCCATTATCAACAGAATGCTTACAGTGAAACTTACAAAGATCGGATAACTATAACCTATAGCTCCCATACAACTGATTGTTCAGATATAAAATTTTTCGTTATAACTCCTCCATTTATATAGCTGGGAACAGGAAATTCCGCACTGTTTTCAATAATTATCAACAGAAAACTTACAGTGAAAATTAAAAAGATCGGATAACTATAACCTATAGCTCCCATACAACTGATTGTTCAGATATGAGATTTTTCGTTATAATTCATCCATTTATGCAGCTAGGACCATGAAATTTCGCGCTGTTTTCACTCATTATCAGCAGAAGACTTACAGTGAAAATAACGAAGATCGGTTCACTATAACCTGCAGCCCCCATACAACTGATTGTTCAGATATGAGGTCTTTTATCATATCTCCTCCATTTATGCAGCTAGGAACATGAAATTTCGCACCATTTTCACTCATTATTAACAGAATACTTACAGTGAAAATAACAAGGATCGGGTGACTACAACATATATCTTCCATACATCTGATTGTTCAGATATGGGATTTTACTGTAAAACTCCTTTATTTGAACAGCTAAAACCGATAAATATCGTAAGATATTTTATAAATAATACAAAGTCTACTGAGAAAATCGTCAAAATCTATGCTGTATAAGCTTTATCTCCTATAGCACTGATTGTTCAGATACCAGTTTTTGCGATATATCTCCTTTATGTAGGAAACTAAACCCAACAAATTGTGTTACCGGTTTACATACCGATCACATAGCAGTGAAAATCACTTATATTGGTGCCATATAAAGTATATCTTCCATACCTCTGATTGTTTAGATGCGATTTTTTATATAAGTATGTAACTCCTCTATCGATGTATGCAGATGTATTCAAAATCAGTAATCTGTCAAAGTAAAATTTGCAGATGTTCATGAAAGGTATGAAGCCTTCGGCATAGCCGAAGACAGCGCTGCTCTTACTTGTTTTAATATTGTTATTGAGGTTTGTGCAACGATTATGTTTACTAGGAAAAATTTAAAAAGCAACAAAATCTAAGCGGCAGGAGGAAAACTGTTTTTCTTATCAGGAGGCATCCAATAATAATACCCAATTGTTTATTTTACCATTTTTATATACAAACAACTTTTTATGAGTAACTCAAAAAACAAAAACTCAAAAAACTTTAAAAAACTCAATTTTTTTTTTTGCAAAAACTCGACCAAAACTTGATTTTGACCAGCGAGTTTGAATCTCTATGATTAAGTTTCAATAATATGTCAAATTTATCAGACTTCAAGTGAAAATTTGGTAGAAGTTTTCGATTGGAAAAACCCAGAATTTATTATTGCATATCCCTAAAAGCTTCCTTAAATTTTTTAAATTTTTGTAGATGTGTTTTTTTGTACGTAGAACCAAATAAAGAGGTTCCCAAACCCAATTTAGATTTTGATATTTTTTCGAAACCACCCTAATGCACATAGTGCAAATTTTAATACAAGACCATGTTAACCATCGGGACAGGCTGTAAAAATCGATGAGATCGTCTACAGGTCAATGCGATAAATCACAAATGATCCATCCACCGGTTGATTGGCTGTGGAAAGCAGTATTGGCGCCCAGATGGCTGATAACAAGATTTTTAATTTTTACATTTTCGACCACATACATATCTCTAGATGCATACACATTAGTTCTCATATAACTAAGCTCGCATACCTAAATATGAGTGCATGCAATTGTAGGAATTTACATAGATAGTATTGCCCAAGTTAGTAGGGGAATGAAAGATTTAATGAGACGCGCGCAGAATAAGTGTTGCAAATAATATTATAATATTCTACACTTCAGCGCTTTGTGCATTGTGCCGGTGTGTTGTAATGTAAATGATGTATGCATGTACTCGTATATCGTAATTATTCGAA